GTATTAATCTAATATTTTATATTTCTTATCTAATTAGATTTTTAACTTCCTAGTAGATAAAAGATATAGACTTATTATTAAAGATTTTATTTTAAATTTTTTATTATTAGATTTTTATCCTTTAAAGTTTTTAAGATATTATTTCTTTTTTAGTAATTTATAGATTATTTTATTTTTATTAAGAATAATATCTATTATTTATTTCTCTTTTTCTATTATCTAGAAGTTAGATTCTACTAAAGTATAGTAAATTATTTATTTTTTTAGAGATTTACTAATTATTAATATTTAATAGATAATTATTATTTTAATTATTATTTAGTTAATGAATTATTATTTCTATAAAATTAGTTAATTTTCTTTAAGATAGGATTATTTAAACTACTTTTTTTATTGCTAAGATTAACTTATTATACTAGGTTAATATTCTAGAGAAAGATCTAAATTTAACTATTATTTTTATAGTATCCTAATAGGCTGATTAGGTTTTAAAGAGTAATTAGAACTATAAGATTAGCTATAAAAGTCTAATATTAACTAGTGAGATTAGTGTAAAGGGAGTAAATAACTATATATTATCTAAGTATGGAGAACTGATTACTAAGTTATAGAATACTTAGTAATCTATAGAGATAAATATAGTATGTATTATATGATATAGTGTATATGGTGGCATTATATGGGCCACCATAGCCCTTAATAATAGCCTAGAGGAAGCTAAGTAGTTTATTCTAATTATTATAATATATATATTTTTTCTTAGTAAACATATATATTAATAAAATACTATAAATATAGCAGTAACTTATAACCTAGTTAATAATATCTCACTGGCTAGGTCACTAGGGACTCCCTTAAGCAGTTAACCTCTGGCTTACTTACATATTAATTATAGTAATTATATTAATAAATACACTACTAGTTATTCTAAAGGAAACCTAGTATCTCTAAGAAGTATAGGTACTTCTTTTTCTAATTAGATATATATAATAAAATAAAATCAATTCTTATTATAGATTAAGTATTAAGATTATCCATTATATACTTAATTTATTTATTAAATATAGACGCCCTGATATTCCATCATCATCACCATCATCATCATCATCATCATCATCATCATCATCATCATCATCATCATCATCATCATCATCATCATCATAATATATCACATGCTGAGCTACTGGCATACCTCTATTAGCAGCCACCCCCTTACTTAGATAATAGTTTCCCTAAACTCTGCACATATAGAATAGAAAAATATAAAATAAAATATAAAGGATAGTTTGAGAAAAGTAATTGGAGAGTAAGACATAGACTAAAGTAGTGTTAGTTATTTATTATGTTTAATATAAAGTATGATATTTAGATAATTTAATAAGGATTAAGGAATTTGATAAGGAACTTTATAAGTTGATATATTTTAAATAGTAGAGTGAGAGAAATATAATGATAATTAAATATTTAGCTAGAAGTTTAAGGTAGTAAAGCTACTAATTTAAAGACCAGGGATGTAGTGCTATTTAGTAATGTTACTGGATAACTAGAGCTAATATTATATCTTAAGGGAAGCCTTTAGTTAATTATCTTACTAGCTAGCTACTAAGTAATTAAATAATATATGCAATATGTGTGCATATAATCTAGTAGATCAATTCTAATAACCAGAACCTAGTTATTAGTACTACTTGAAATGAATATTTTTATTTACAGCTTATATTTTTGTTAATTCATGAGTTTTCTTTACCTGAGAAATACTATTTATAAGAGGCTCATTCAACAGGGCTTGCCGTGCTGCTGCATCCCCTGCAACTGCTTTACTAGGTCCATGACCAGAGCCTAGATGCTTATTTTGCCAGCCCCAACCAGTAAGGTAAACACCAACATAGAAAGTCTGCATCCCACCTCTTAACTGTACAGGTGAACGCTCATCAACATATTTGAGCTTAACTCCTTTACCCATAATTTTCTTTGCAAGGGTCTCCTTTGCATCCAAAGCAGTCCGCCGTATCGCAGTATCTGTGAGTCTTGGAAGCCATAGCTGTGTCAACCATTGTTCAGCAACATCATAACCATGCGTCGGACGAGACAAAATAACCGCAGCTACATAAGCCTCGAAGATGTCACCCTTAGTCTTCGTCCATCGCCTGGGCTGGTTAAGCAAGTCCTGTGGTATCGACGCCCTGCTGTCGAGCCCGTATAATGTCGCAAACTCCGACAAAGTCTCATTCTTGACTAGAAGCTCCCTTATCTGCGAAATCTGACCGGAAGAAAGATCCTCAAACCTGCTCCAAATGAGCCGCGTAGCGATCAGCTCTATATAAGCATCTCCGAGTATTTCAAGGCGATCGTACGTCGACTTTGAATCCTTGCTCAAGCCGGGATGTGTAAAGACCGCCAATTCCAGTGAACTATCCAGAATAGGAGGTAATTCAGGTATGCCGAAGGAATTTCGATTTCCTTGCGCACGGGTGAATTCGACGGAGTTATTGTCTGGACGGCTGATGGGCGACACAGCAGTCTTTGCACGGCGGAAAGCCTTGTCCAACTCGATAATGGCATTCGTAATATCATCCCCAGCATGGTCCCTTATGAGATCAACAGACTTGACAAGCTCTTGAGTCAAGGTTTTTAGAAGGCATAGGCGAGAACGCCGATCCTGGTTCAATGAGCGTTCACCATCAGAAGGCGCCTTTTGAGCCTCTCTCCCGATGCGACAGGCCAACGAAGATTGATCAGCTTCCTGTAAGGGGGCCTTCGAGGCAGTGCGAGACTTGGTCTTTCTGCCGTCGTCATCCGAAGGTGGATCGAAAACAGACTTTCTTTTCAGATCCATTAGGAATTCCAAGGTTCGAGTTGTTAATTCGCGGTGTTCTGGTATTTTCAGCACTACTTGGTAGGGAGGAACCCACACATCAGTCACATGATCCATCATCGCAAACCGCCGTCTTTCACTCATAGTGCACTGGAACTCTCGGACTTGAAACTGGGCTCCACAGCAAAAATGGCAGCTTCATGTAGCCGAATACTCGAGTTGGCCAAGGTATGCTGCCGAATTCTCCCATGGCCTTATACTGCGTTACCTTGCTGATGATCTCGAGACTCAATGTCGTATATTCTCACTCAATTTCAATCCCCAGAGGCTGCGACTGGGCAATAAAATTCTACGCCAGCGACTGCGAGGACCTTCACTTGCGGCGTGGTATCCCAGAAAGACTGTTTCATTCCGTGACTTGCAGGATGCCTATCGTCCGCTCGGCTTGACCGTCTTTGACGAGTATGAGGACGATCGGGAAGAGGCCATTCAAATGTAGGTCACAACTAACACTCCGGGTAAAACCTTGATCGCTGATTACGCCTAGTGCAAAACTGAGGGGGAAGGGAAGGCCTAAGAAAAAGAGAACTGCAGCTGGTATGACACTTATACTTGTTCAAAGTCTCATGCTGACCGGTATACAGAATCACGATCGGCGAAGAAGAAGAAATAGCCAGTGCCATAGTGGAGTCCCCATGTCCTATGTGGTCGCCATACATAAGACGCCGCTCAGCTTGCTATCCTTTCACACTCCTTAACTGTAAGATACTGCCATTCGGACTTGTGTATATTTCGCCTTCATTGTTACCTCAAATCCCTTTCAAGATATCCGGGACGTCTTCCCCTCGAGTATGAACCCATCTCACACTTTCCTGATCAGTGTTGCCCTCCCTCAGTCAGCGACTCGTGAGCTCCCATGTTCCGAAGAAGGCGTTTGAGATTGGGTTATGGCGTACGCGCATCCACTTCACATCAAGAGCGCCTTTTCCCTTCGATTCACGTGCTGGTCGTACTGAGTACTCATTGTATTGTATATTTCAGAAATCCACATTCAAAATTGGGCATGATCAAAGTCCTCATTTGCACATAGTTTATACCTGATGCGGTTGTTCGAGCATGTAATGGCGGCGAGATATCGCGAAGGCTCTTTATCCAGTGTCGAAGTATCGCGGCCTAGGTAAGACTCAGAACGAAACTCATCTGCGAACCTAGTGAGGAAGCCCTCGGATTAGACATATAGATAAGTGGAAGAACTCCGCAGGACAGGGTCTGTTGCAGATTTAGCTGAAACCTGGAAGAAGAAAGAACATTGTTTACAGAAACACCTCTCTATAAGCCTGGAAATCTGATTTAACTTCTTAAAGTATAAAGTGAACATCGCTACGCCGTGTTGACGCAGTTTCTTGTCGCAGATGTATTCCCAAGCTTTAACAATGCATTTGCGTCCACCTAAAACCACTAAATCAAAGTTACCATAAGTACAAGTTTAAACAAATCAAACCTGCTCCTAGCGCGTAGGAGAGTGTAGATTAGTAGGGTTCAGCCAGAGTCGAACCACTACTAGTACTGCAACTTGCAATTTTGCAGCGCTGGGTATCATTCGGACCTTGTCTCTTTCAGCCTGGCAGCCTGCGTTAGTCAGAACGGGAGCGGATAGCTAGAATGGCAATCTGAACTCTTGGCACTAACTTGATTTTAACCACCATCAGGCTCTTGCAGAACTTGCAAGTCGGGTCAAGTGATTACGTTTATATTCAACACAGTTCAAAAGTCATACTGACGCTATTCTTATTTCTGATATATCTCTTCTGTTCTGGCTGGATTCAGATCATGAAACCGAGCAAGAATCAACTAAGAAGGGCCAGGAAAAAGGTCCTGAAGACGGAGGTAAGCCGCAAGCAACAACTTACCATCAATACGATTTAGTGAAATGAGATCTGACATCAAATAGGCTACTGAGAAGCATACCGCTGCTTCCCATGAAGAACCCGAAACGCGGGCTCCGCGTTTCGTTGGCCAACCCGATGCTGCCAATAGCTCTCCCTGGGAGGTGGACCTAGACGCCGGCCATTCGCTATGGCAGATGTACAAGGATATTGCCAGAAAGTTTGACGAGAATGAGGACGAAGTAAAACCATCCGCACAACCTGAGAAACCGGAGGTCTATTTCGATGAAGACGATGAAATTCCGGACGAAGATGACAAGGGGCCGAAATTATCCAAAAAGAAGAGAAAAGAATTGACGAAGCTTTCTGTCGCAGAACTCAAGGCAATGGTTCGGAAACCGGAAATCGTCGAGTGGACGGACACGTCGGCCCCCGACCCAAGGCTTCTCGTCCATATCAAGGCTCACAGAAATGTTGTCCCTGTGCCTCTTCACTGGTCTTTAAAAAGAGAGTATCTGTCTTCAAAGAGAGGGGTTGAAAAACCGCCTTTTGCCCTGCCTAAATTTATACAGGAGACGGGTATCTCAGAAATGCGAGATGCTGCTTTGGAGAAACAAGAACAGGCAACTCTGAAACAAAGGCAACGCGAAAGGGTCCAGCCCAAAATGGGGAGACTGGATATAGATTATCAGAAACTTTATGAGGCTTTTTTCCGCTTCCAGACGAAACCGGAATTGACTCGTTACGGTGAGGTTTACTATGAGGGCAAAGAATATGAGACCAACCTTAGACACTTACGCCCTGGTGAGCTCAGCGCTGAGCTGAAGGAAGCTCTCAATATGCCGCCCGGTGCGCCTCCGCCCTGGTTGATAAACCAACAACGATATGGGCCACCGCCGTCATATCCGGCTTTGAAAATCCCTGGTCTCAATGCTCCTCCGCCTCCAGGTGCCATGTGGGGCTACCATCCTGGCGGGTATGGCAAACCGCCTGTGGATGAACATAACCGGCCACTTTACGGTGGCGACATTTTTGGTGTGCTACAACCACAGCAAACTGTTCAACAAGGAGAGCCTGTTGAAAGAGATCTATGGGGCGAGTTGCAAGAATCTGAACCTTCGGATGATGAAAGCGAGGAGAACGAGGATGAACCTGAGGACGATGTGGATACTGAAACAGGCTTGCAGACCCCCAGCGGATTAGAGACACCTGGCGGTATAGTGTCGAGCGTTCCATCCGAATATATTGGGGCAGAGAACGTTGCAGGCGAGTTTGACGTGCGCAAGACTTATCGAGGTACCCAGACAGAGGAAAATGTGGGACGTCGGAGTGCTTTTCAGGTCATCCCAGAGAAACAAGCACATGTACAGGGTTTCTTTGGAGCCGACAGAGTGTACGATCTCAAGGCGCCTCCGGAGGGCTTGCCTGTGCTCGGTGCTGAGGACCCAAATCGAAAACGGAAGAAGCCTGGTGATGTCGATGTATCGGTTGACCCAGACGCATTGCAAGTGAGCGATGGGATGAGTAAAGAAAACCTACGAAGTCTTTACGAGTCACATAAGCACCAAGAGACCAATCCCAACTGGGATTTCCAAGAAGACTTGAGTGATATGATCGCTTATGAGAGTCGGAAGAGATTGAAAAAGGAAGAGGATCGACGAACGAAGCATTGACGCCCGGTTCTGAACGACAACATAGGTAGCTGTACCATCACGTCCCTCTTTTAGCGCGTTATCTAAACAAGTTTCAATGTCATAATCATAATGAGCCATTTGCTGCTTATAATAGCCGCCCGTTCTTCTCCCCAGTTCTGCCAAGTGTCTGGTCTGACAATAGAATCACAGTCACTAGGTTTGAGCAAGACAGCCTCCATAGGGATTTGCCCGTAGAATATATTTTAAGGTTACCTATTGTCCTAGATTGCAGGTCTTTGTCTTATGATTGACAAGCTGGCTACGCTGAATTCACTTCAGGTTTGCTCCGCTCCCTAGCACTGGGTTTGGACCTATGGCGATCACGATCTTACTAAGTACCTTATGGTCTTACCTCTCAGGGAGCATCAATTTTTCAAGGAGTAATATTTATTTTAACTGCTACTATGGTAGCCTCTTGCTGCTGATTCCATATTAGCCTTACACTTACCCAAGGTAGTAACAAATGGGATGCAGTAACTGGCAATTGCTAAGGGCATCATATATATGGGCGAGGGCTATGAGGGTAGTAGGCAGCCCTATAATAGCAGCGCTATACTCTGTAGCAGAATTTATACTCCATATTCTATATATAGATAAGGGCAGCTCTAAATAGAAGATCCTGGATAGATGTCGTCGCAAAGGCAGTGGAAGGCTTTGGAGGTCAGAGAATTAAGGCCTGAAGGAAGAGGCACAAAGGCTAAACTAAATGAGGGAATTTTGCGAATTTGATTAATTAACTAATCAAGGACTAAAATCATTATTAAGCCTTCGCCACGATAGTTAAGGTGCAATTCAATGCAATCTGATTGGTTATAGAGAGTCCAATCACACGTGACCTTTAGTCTTTCTTGGAGCCAACGCAATATATGGGGTATGGCTACTCCGTACATTTCGTAGGATACCCATTCTACAAACTGAACACCCGTCAGCCCCATCTTGTTAAAAAGGATTGTTGCATATATTGTCATTATTGAAAAAAAATTCATCATTACGCATAAGTCGATGACAGCTGTTGCACACTGTTATAGCAACATTACATTTAACGTCGCGGAGCTTTGAGCAACATGGACTGGGAACGCAGTAGAAGGTAGGGTTTTCGTTGACATTTCCTCCGAGACAACTCTTTGCCTAACGGGGTCTATCATGCTAGGTTCGAAGATCATCGTGGTAGGGAGAGCTATCGACCGCCAGCTCCTCGAGGCTACAGTCGTCACACATCCCCAACACGAACTCGTTCACCTCGGCTTGTCGCTGATACATGGGTCCCCTCCTCTAGTCGACACTACGGTCGTTTAAGAAGTCGTTCACCATTGCCGTTCAGACGTCATTCTCGAAGTCCCCCTTACCGGCACAGAGACTCCGATCCTGGACTATTTGCAAACAGTGCTCCAAGGAGATTCTCGCCTAGACGAGATGCGCGCCTGCGATCGCCTCAAATTGGGTGGCGTCCGCGTTCACCGTATGATGACCGCCCTCGTGATAGCTCTCGCGGTCGATCTACCCCTAGACGGCGAGACCAAAGCCCTCCTAGGCAAGACTTTACATACTCGAAACGAGAGCGCTACCCACCGACTGTCGATCGCTACAAAAAATCTGCGTCTCCCCTGAGGCGGGGTCCAGTTCGTGCCAGTGATATCACTCCCCTGATGACAAGTCATCGTCGACGGAGTTCTTCACAGGAGTTTCGAGATCGTCGTCCAGATAACAATACAAACCAGGCGCGGCCTTCGCCTTCGACTAGGGCTGCTTCAACAATCCACAATTCAACCTCTAGCTCCCGTTCGGACTCAAGACGTTCATCCCCTTTAAATGACACGACTAGGGCGACGGTGCGCAAATCGAGAAGCGGGTCACCAGTCACTCGAGACTTTCCACAGCGCCGCGTGTCCGTATCTTCTGATCATTCCTCATCTCGTCAAGCTGAAACGATCTCGTCAAATGAACTCAAAAGTCAAGAAGATGCAACACATATGCCTCCAACTTCGGTGCAAATTGTTGCACTGTCAAATGATCGTGGTGTCTCGGTCCCCACGTTGGGCCGTCCAGAGAATAATTCGGAGTCTGCAGATGCAATTTCCAGCGCTACTCCTCAAAGTGGACCGAGGGCCGTCTGTACATCATATGGCCAGGCTGCAACGCCCAACATATCTGCAGGGCCCAAGCCGTCATTCAAAAATCGGGGTTCCATGGTATCTCTACTTTCTGCCCCCACTCGCCCTCGCGGAAATTTGAATCCGAAGGATTTTGCTCGTTCTACTCGTCGTGGACACGTGTCAATTTCGCAAGCAACTCCTCCAACGGGGCCGCGTCATGGTCACATCCCGACTGGACCCAGTGTTGACTCTGATCGGCAGCATATCTATCGGCAAAACAGCTTATCTGGGACGTCTTATCCTCGCCAGAGGCCCACCAATTACCTTGCCGGCATCGATACAATTGTCCCAGGAGGCAGACTTCTGGCGTACGACCTAGATACTACCGTGGAAAAGCGACTTGCCCAGTTAGAGATGGACAAAGAACGGTTATTTGAACAAATTGCAGATAGCCAAAGGCTGAAGCACCTTGTCATTAGAGACTGGGAGAGGTTAGATAGAGAGAGCTCTATCTGTGCATTGAAGAGTGAGTTAGCAGAGGGTCATTTGCTATGTATAACTGATGGCGAGAGTATGCATACAAGTACCACATTTTAATGAGAACCTGCGGGTCAAATTACAAATTTTTTTTTTTGGTGATTCAATCATATGCCTGAGTTAAAATTACTTTTCAAAAATCGGGCGTGGGGTGGAAAACTTCAATGATCAGATGAGAGGGACGGATATCAAATTATTTGATCTTTGCTCAGATTATTCAACTTTACTGTTGATATAGTACTTAGTCGACTACTGGAAAAAATGAGGGTTAGTCATCTGTAGTATGGAATATCATTCGGACCGACCTACTGACAATTGTAGCATAACTACGCAACGCGTCGTGTCGGGCCTTGGCGCGCAAGCTGAGGCTTCGTGTCAATATCTTAATATCCAGTGTCCACTTTTGCAAACTGTGTAATACCATCACGTCTGCATGAATGACTTTACCCACTCACTCAGCGACTTACAATTGCCTCTATGAGTGCTAAATATTGACATCCTCTTCATTGTGGATGTGACTGTATACCTGCTCCCAATCCATCACTATCAAGCCCCTCAGATTTTCAACTTCCAGCTTTTGCTAGGAAGTTCATTTGACCAGTATGAATATTTTCAGGTTATCAGGTGAGCTACAGTAGTCAGATCTGCTAATCAACTGGTTCTATCAAACTGATATATCTAACAGCTGATTTTTCTCATCTAATATCCATCTTCATCCTTTTGCATAAGATGAAGTCTTCTAGTGTACGACATTCTGATTTATTACGTTAATATTATCTGACGCAGAAATGTAGAGCTGCTCTGGTTTATCTTTCAAATCACAAGTTTTGTATCTGCTGGTCTTTCTCACACGCTATCTCGGTGAGTCCTTCCTTTGCGCTGCCTATGAGAGCTTTCATTAACCATTATGACGGCTTAGATTTATTCTGGACTTTCACCGACTCCTTATACAACACCACCTTTAAAGTCTTGTTCATCTGCTCGTCGGCTTACATTATCTACCTAATGCTCAACGATTACAAACCTACCCGGGATCCCAATTTGGACACATTCAAAGTCCAATACCTTCTAGGGATCAGTGCTATCTTGGCCGTCCTATTCCCACATGATTACAGCATTTCGGAGGTCTGTTACTTTCTCAGAAATAAAGAGGCCTGAGCTTCCTCTAACGTTTTTCAAGATACTCTGGACCTTTTCCATATGGCTTGAATCCGTCGCTATCCTTCCACAGCTTTTTATGCTCCAGCGCACCGGAGAAGCAGATACTATCACCACACATTACCTCTTTGCCCTGGGGCTCTACCGCGCTCTCTATATACCTAATTGGATTTACCGTTACTTCGCAGAGAACCGCTTCCAGCCGATACCCGTCGTGGCAGGTATAGTCCAAACGCTCTTGTATTCGGACTTTTTCTACATCTATTACACGAAGTGAGTCAATTGCCCTCACATCATTCTTAGCGTTAGGCTAATGAAGAACAGGGTAATGAAAGGGAAAAAATTCTCCCTCCCGGTCTAAGTGGCGACAGGGCGGTTCAGATGGGTGGTGATCTAGCCGATACAGAAGGGTAGAAGCAAGATTTCCCTATGATTCTGATGAATGAATCAGTTCATATTACTCTGAACAGATTATGCTTTACCTACATCATTATGTATGTCTATCATTAGAAGCCCTTTGAAAGCACAAGGGTTAGATATGTATTGTATACATCATTTTAAAAGTCCAACCAGCCTCCTAATTCTGCATTGTTACCTTGCACCTGCTGCCTGTATAAGGCTTATACATGCTGGTCGCACTAATGATCTCACTTAAATGAAAAACAACCGACTTTCTTGGATATTCCATTCTAAGCCCAGGTACTGTATATGCAGTGTGCATGGGGAGACGAGACAGAGAAGAGCCAGATGCAGTCGCACATCACTTGTTAGTTTCTTTCTCGCCATCTTATAGATAGTCAGACCATCTTGTCTTAGTAGCATGATTTCATTCAATTTGATATCTTTGGTGCATCAGTAGCCGGCCCACATGCTGTGTATATCTTTGGGTCCCGGGGCAACAAGAGCACTAACTAGTTAACAGTGCTGGGCATTTATCCTCTTTCACCCTGGAGCATCTGAGCACCTTGTACAATGTAGACATACTAAGAGAATGAAAATGTGAAAATGAGCAGATCTTCAGAAATTTAAATTATTCTGCAGGGTCTGAATCTCACATAGCGCGGAATCAGCCGGTCCGCAAACCACGTTTAAGGCTGCTGGATGATAGGATACTTTGACCGGTTCAAACTCAAAAGACTAGAAGTCTCGATGATTCACCTGATTATTCGCAGTCGCATATGCCGGGCCATAACTGAGTTGAGACAAGTCACTGCCGTGGAAGGCATCTAATGTCATGGACAAAGGACTTGGCAGGTTGGCCACCGATGATCCGCTCAGCGATCTCACAGAACCTGCATTGAGGCCGGTTCGTCCAACTGAGTCATGATAATTATCTGACCAACCAGCGTGACCATTCAATTGACTCAAATAGTCTGCTTGTGACCTCTCCAGGGTGGGTTGACCATATAGAATCGAATCTCGCCTAGAAGTTGGGGGGGAGGGAAGTCTGTGCAAACGACTTGGAGGCTCAAGTCGAGGGGAGCTTCTGCTTGAACTAGGGGGCGTCAATCGTGCACCACCCCGACGTACTCGGCATGTAGGACATATCTTGACGAATCGGGAAATGAGCTCTTTTGGGACCCTTCAAGATTGGTTAGGAGAATCATCAAGGGGGATAGTAGCTTCATTCCAGATACGGTACGAGCTTGAATAGCGTCTTCAGCAACATGGATAAGGATTGCTTACCAGGAATATATTTGCCGAACTTGTGCAGATGTTTTATCCCTACCGCCATGCTGACATTGCTGATGTGCCCTCGTGAGTATTTTGAAGAGCTTTTCTCGAATGGCTACAGGTTTTCCTTCGTGGCAGATAATTTTTGCGCGCTTTGATCCAAATCACAATGTTAGTGCAAAAAGGCTTCTTGAATTCAACAGGTGAAGTACAAACATTTGAGGATTCAATGCCAATGATTTGAAGTTTGAACATCTTTTTCACCCAGAATCTATTTTCAACAACTTAGCAACCTTTCCCTTTATGAGGAGAAAGCCAAGCAAGTGCCCAGACTGGCACACCCAAGGGCAGGAACATTGGGACCAGGAGTCTGGGACCGGGGAAAGGTACCTGAATTGGGCTGATTCAATGGCAGTATCTTTTGGGTCGATCAGAACAGTCTTGATGTTCCGTGCTCTTCTGGCATGTATCAATGCTTTGTCTTGTTTCTTAACTGATAGATCATCTACATAACTGTTGTACCACGTAAGCGGGTGTACTTCAGAGGGCCAATTGAGCGGCTGGCATGAAACAACTTACCATCTTATCAATTGATCAAATTCCCTCACGCTAGGAAAACCCTCCAATGGAGGAATAACTGGTTCTGACAGCATCGTGTTCTCATTGGGAGATTCCTGGCTCTCTATTCCTATCTCACTGATTGTTTCATGAATAGGTAGATACCTCGGCGACTGCAAATACCGCGCCTGCCGTGCACATTGTACGGGTTGGTGCTGCACAACTTCATCTTCTGGAGCGACCGGGATGGAGTGTGTAGATGATTGATTGATGCCAGGGGGTAAGCCGGCCTGAGTGTAAGCGGTTCCAATTTGAGGTGCGTATGAACCGAACGTTTGTTGAGAGAAATGATGTGGTGCCGTGCCATTGCTGTTGAAGTCATATTTATCCGCATGACTATAAGAGATGGGTAGAGCAATCTGCTGATTCACTAAATAGTTGTCATGACCCTCCGTGATACGCCTACTAAAGCCGCTCATGTCGATGGACTGTTGCAGCTTCGCTGGTTGAACACCGTGTAAGCGTAGCTCGCAGGCGAACATGGGTAATGATTTGGACGTATGCCAGCAGGTCTTCCTGATCCTGAAGACATGTCATGACAGAATAACTATACAAGATGATGTACTGAAAAGGATATAGACATAAAGAGACTCACCCTAGCTGTTGATATCTGGAAGACTTCCTGAGGTCGGTAGGTATTCAGGCAAACCGCTCGCATATATGAACGGGGAAGCACCAAAGAGGGTTTGGGGTAGAATCAATTGCAGCAGAAGAACATCTGGAGACGTTGAAATAAGCCGACAACTAAATATATGTCTGAAAGGTTCGAGCCCATCCCTAACCCAGTCCAGTATGACTCGCATGAAGAGAACTGCCATACTAAGAAGTCATAACAACCGTATCCGGCAGCGATGCAAGGTCACCCCTGATGGAGGAAAGGGAACAAATACAGCTGCTGCAATCTCTGAAAAAAAGGAAATGACAGAAGCTAGAACCCTAAGCATAGGTTTGTTGAAAGGCTAGATGCCCTAGGACCAGGTGAGGTCGAGGCTTGAGCAGCTATGAGGGTAGGCCACGACCAGCCTGTCAGGTACCATGTATGCAGAGGGAAGCTCCTTTGCGACAAAGCGCAGTGAGCTGCAGCATCAGAAGAAGAAATATTCGAGTTAATGGAAAACTAAGCGGCAAAAGCACGGCAACGGAGTCGAAGCTGTGAAAGGGCAGGGATCCAAGGTTAGACTTTACAGGAGACAGAAAGCAAAATAATAATATGAAGAAAGGAGGGGGTATCAGAGGATGAAAAGGGTCACATTGCCACTTTTTCATAACAGAATGGTCAGTTTGAGCTTCTTTATTGGTTCATTGGCCAGCATATAGAATGAGAGGAAGATTGAACAGGGTGATATTGATAGTATTTTTAGGTCTGTAAAGCTGGCTGCTCACGCTTCCAGAATAGTGGATAACACTCAGAACAATCAGTACAGACCTAATAGGTTTCTTAGTTGCTGAACCTAAGCAACCGTAATGAGATCGCATAGGTACTTGAACATTAACCACGGTCACTCTTAGGGTGGGGGAGGAAAAGGCTCATCTGGATACCATGTCTGGGCAAGTAATTGCAGATATTTCTTGTCCTTGAACTTTTGTTTTTCATAATGTTACAGGAAAGGGCTGCGAAGTTTGGTCACTGTCAGCAACCGTCCTGAGATGCTTGTGCTTGTGTCCCATCTAGATGGATGAGAGATCAAACAATGACACAATGGTCAATAGTGACGGAGGTTTGATTGCTAGGTTCAGCTCCCGGGCATCTGAGTGCATGCCATAATTGCAGGCTGCAGGGCGCCTAGGGTCGAGCATATGTTTGCGTTGGATCCTGCCGAACCATTGGACCATATATGTAGGAGTGTCTGGGAACACGAGCCTCGACAAGGCTGTTCTCTGCAGCTGTTGCCGGGTGCTCTCTACCCTCCAGTACCTACGCTTCCAGGTGCATCCGAAAAGCCGGCTGGCACAAAGGAGATGAACTTTTCCACTTAATAAACATCACTCGAGCAGAGAATGACTGACACATCGTCGTTGGACGGCACACGACATGGTGAAAAGTGGCGGTCAGATTTCCTGTAGCACAGTCTCGGACCTGGCTTTTCAACCGTTATTTGCTTTTCTCCCAAAACCATTGAGAACGGAGAAAAATACGATGGCGAACCCGAAATGATGTGCTGGATGCAATGGTCATGGGCATGGACAGAACCAAAGAGAAGTGTTCAATTTCATCTTGTCAAGCTGGATAATCATTGGTAATTCATCGACGACTCCCAGCTGATTGGCGGACCCTGGGCAATGGGGTAGGGATTCGTGAACAACTTCTACTTATGTATTATTGTCTGCAGTTCCATCAGTAGTTCGCTTGCTTCATTCTCGTTTTCATACTGGGAGTTATATTGTTACCAGTCGGTAAGTTCAGACAGAAGGCCTATCAACAAACCCCCTCTGGACACTACCCTTGCGCTCGTAGCCATTGGCGAGTTTGGTTCCAAGTCAACCATCATATATATGGACGATTGGCCCCCGTACTTCGTGCCTTAACCCACTATAAACATTGATTGTTACTTCCACTAAGCTTGGGGAGAAACACTGTTAGCAACCATCCAATTTGGAGCAAAGCCCTACTTTTTGACTGAAAAAATGTACGGAAGCTCCTGGCATTGCTCGATTCCCTACCCAGCAACCATTACAAGATCTCATGGTAATAGCTACTAGCAATGAGAGAGGTGGGAAGTAGAGAAGTCTGACGAGATAGATATGGAGAGATGACGGCCTGGGTAGAGACGGAAGAAGAATGGAAGTAGGTGCAAGTCGACAAACTGGCTACTTGCATGAGCCTAGACTTCTTTCGTTTGTTTAATGTTGGCGCGTCCTAGGAAGAAGTGGATTGATGTAATTCCATATCTGAGCTGTAGGATTCTGCTTGCGTTTTATGCGGTATATTTCTATGGGTTGAACACGGGTTTTCGTGCTAATTTTATCATGCTCCCTCTTGTTTAATGGTGAATTTACTGAGCATTGGCCTTCCTTATTGGCCCACTTTTTCATCTTCTAGTCATGAAGTCTTGAAAGTTCCACTTTTTCCCATGCATGCAGCCACTGTTGTCTACAAGACGCACAGGGATGCTATTGGTTTACTGGCAAGGGGAACTGGTGATAACTGGACTAGAAGCAGCTTTTCGTAGTAGCTCATTCATAGAGAGTGCCGCTATGCTTCAGCCTGTGAAAAGAACTGAACGTGATAGGGAGTAAGATGTCCCTACGCGGGAGGGATCATCCATACGAGAAGATGCCCATGGCCCCAATATACTATCTATTCCCTACTTTTCACTCGCGGTCAGTGTTGATCTCCGTATGGCCCTACAGCTCTAGTAATACTGTAGATACCTTGGTCGGGAAGTTTGATTTCGACAGGTATTAGGTAGATATGCAGCATCATTGTCATCCAAGGCAGCTCTCAGCACTCACCTACGTGCATGAGCAATTCCTTACCCAATAACAATAATATCACCTCTCCTACAATAACACAGCCTCGTTAAGAAGGAACTACGACATATGAAGCTAGATAGCATGAGATTTCAATTAGAGCGAATATATCAATCTCGACTCTACTTCGAACCATCTCACTCGAGTCTAAAAAGTGACGAGAGAAATAACCAAGCCAAAGTTAGCCCTAAAATATCCTACCCGGCAGCAAAGAAGTGATGCGTATGCACAAACATGTCGATACCGGACCAAGTCACAAAGGAAAATTGGGCTATCGGTTGCAGATCTGGATATAGGATATGATATATTGTCATAAATTATAAGTACACGAAGTCACAACACAATCACCGTCGCAGCGCAAAGGTGCAATTCAGCAGAAACAAGCAAGAGAAACAATAGAAAGTCAAAGTCATCTCTCGCTGGCCAGTTTCATCAGGGTCAACGAGAGTATATCGTAAGCTCATGCAGGAAGTTCATAGGCAGCTGAGCCAGAGTGAACACTGACCCATATAAAAGCATCGTCCCAGTCAAGTCCTCAACTGATCAATACCTCGACGCTCCATTCAATCAATGAAACAGCAACAATAAGAACAGGCCACCACTAGGATGCTTTCCTGGGTATCGCAACATTTCCCTATTAATAGTTATGCCCCCCCAAAGACGAAGTACGTTGAACATGCTCACATGCGGCGGACTTCTTGAGCTTGATGAGAGCCGTTCAAACCAACTATATCTCGGATAGCCCACCTCCAACTGTTTCCATGTCTATCACGTTCGGATTGAACCCATTTTTCGACCTTTCGCCTCCACTTCTCTTCCTCGACACGTTGGCGTCTCACAAATTCTGGGCCAACATCAAACTCCTCTGTCATAGGCCACTCGTCTGATGAGTCGCCGCAACTCGGCTCATCACCACTCACAGTACGGTCGAAAACATCGTAGATACCAGAACCTGGGCCACCTGGAGGTTTCCTCTGGCTTTTTTCATCGAGGTCATCAAGTCCGGCGAAGACATCGTCTTCAACCTGCACTGCCACCATTCCCTGTGCGCCCGGCTGAGATGATGCCAGCTTCAGCCAGCACATGCGTCGTGGATCGAAAACCATCCCACCAACGACCTGCACATTCTGCATCGCACTCACATTGGTGATCAACGCAGGTGCCGGTTTGGGGGACTTTGGGGATCTTGAAGACTCAAACCCAACAACGGAAGTCTCGTTTCCCTCCCATTGGAAGGAGTCCGGGTTGTAATGCATACCGTTCACGTCTAGAAAATTGTCAACTCTAAAACAATTTGAATGCAGGGGACAACACGTACACTTCGGTTCCTGGGAGCCCTTTCCTATTGACTTGATCAGGAAGGGCTTACCACCCGACGCTGTGGCACCTCTGGTTTTTCTGCTAAACGTCGCCGAGTTCGAAGGAACACGAGAGACGTTAGGATTTCTCCAATTCGAGCTGAGAGGGCCAAGTGGATTGCTCTCACGACTTTTCAGATTGAATGACATCGAAGCGATACGTTGTTCTCTTGCATTCCTTGAGGCATTTGTATCCCGTGCAAACCGAGGAGTAGGGTCGTATGTCGTAGGGACGGTACATGGAGTCGACGGCGGTTTCAGAACTTCTGTTCTTGCAGGATAAGTCTGATTATGACCGAGTCTGCCACGGAGAGACCTCGGAATACCGCGTCCAATTGGGTGCTTGATGAACTTGCTCTCCGCAAAGGAGGACGTAGGTAAATCGTCAAATGATTCCAGCTCAGTTCCATCACCGAAGTTACGCCTCCGCGTAGGTCTAGTGATAGTCTGCTTCGCAGCTGTGATCAAATTTGTACATTGAGATTCGTCAGTAATGCTGTTCGAAATCGAATGTCGACTTGATCGAGAATATCGAGATACAGGGACTCGTGAGCTAAGGATTTCGCCGGAACCATCGGAATTTGTCCGACGAAAGTATCGGGGACCCTTGACGTTGACGTGATGAGATTGAGTTTCGGAAGCCCCAGCTGGAATGAATGGCGTTTGGGCCTTGCGGCTCAAATATTTTGAGTCGCTTCCTGTGCGCTCCACTGGCGTCCTTGCTCGAACGTGAGAAATGGAAGAGCGCGTTAATTCATCTCGGCGAGAAAGAGAACCCTGTAAGTATGACACCGACGCAGATTGCGGTACACTTCGAATACTTGGCATGGATCGTTTGTTCCTGAGGGACTGTGTGCCGCTAGCGGCGCGGTCGGTGCTTAACGGGGTTTTGGGAGATCGAGAGGTCACAGATCGCCGGCCGGGAGTCGAAGGCGTCGGAGATGTCGATATGGGTCTTGAAGGCAAGCTAGAGACAGAGGCATGCGTTACATGGCCCCTCGCCCAAGAGCGTAAGCCCGGAAACTTTGACATCGGAGCTCCACTTTCTGAAACAGTCTCGAGATGTGTTGAATGACGGTCATGACCCAAGAGGCGCGGAATCCGAGTCTTCGGAGAAACTGCAGTATTTGTGAATGTGATGGAGGTTGTTGAACGGCGGGCCGGACTGCTGGGACGTTCAACCTTGTATTTTACGTTTGGGTTGAGGGAAAGTTTCTTCAAATCGAAAGCATCGCCGCTTTCGATTTCAAGACCCGCGAAAAAATCATCAGAGCTAGTCAGTTCATATTCGGCCTGGCCTAATTGCGAGTAGCGCGGTTGATCAGTAGAGCCGGTATCCTGGCGCTTCTTCAACATTGATTCTAGGTCCAGAGGACCTTCGGGAATTACAAGACCATCAAGCCCTTCGTCCTCGCTCTCGCCTGTCGGGCAACTGGAAGCACTAGGACTAACAACCGAGACAGCAGAGCTTGGAATTGAACGGTGGTCTCTCTTTGTGCCACCGAAGCGAATCCCTATACTACCTTCGGACCAATCCAGGTCGAAATCATCTGGAGCAGGGCTAGTGGCCTCCGTACCGTCTTTGCGAAGAGAGAGATGAAGAGGAAAGTCATCTGCTGGTAATTCGAAGTCGTCCTCAACATTTTCGACCGGGGCATTAATCCTTGTTACGCTGTGCTCGGCAACTGATCTGGTCGATTTTGGTGATCGAGGCTTCGCAACTTTGATAGTAGGGACATTGTCAATATCCGCCAAGCTGTGATTGCTGTCATCCGCAAATTGACTTAGATTTGTCAGGGCTGACTGCAAGCGCGTCGAAAGATCATCTTCCCATGAAGGAGAAGCAGATCTTTTCACTGGACTGTTTGTGGCTGAACTGAGCTGCCTGAGCGTCTCAGGGAAGACTGTGTCCTTAAACTTTTTGAGCTCGAGCACAGTATCAGGACCTGGAAGCTCAACATCGTCAGACCAATCGTCGATAAAGTTCTTTCTCGGTTTTCTTCGCCCAATTCGCTTGATCGTTCCCCCAATGAGAGCCGATTTGGGAACGTTGACTGGCAACGGAATCCCTGCATTCTTGGCAGATGCAATGGCTTCTTCACTCAAAACTTCGTCGTCATCAGGAAGCTGGACCTGCAAATCCTCATCGTCTGCCGCGTTCGAGTCTAGGTCAGAGCGAGCAGACCGACGGGATGATATAGAGTCTCGATGACCCGATCGACGAGTGGATACATTTGTTACGGATGTAGCAGTTGACGCCGTACGGATATGGATGTCTTCGTAACAGTGTAGGTCCCCATCGTCGTCCCAACACTCGATCGTCTCTTCGTCCCCATGTGGGACCTGACAGGTCGATGACTCCATGTTACGGACAGCTTATCGCAGAACTGGTCGTGACGGAAGAGAATATCATGTAAATTCAAGTGGGACCAACTTAGGACAGGCGATTCCAGGGAGCTGGCTTAGAAAACCCCCTCGCTAACACAGAGTCGAAAGCCAATTGGGGCATCATCCCGTTGTCCCTTGGTGGAAGTGCAGTGTTCCCAACGCAGAGCGTCAAAGGCTATTTCAAACCTGATGGCAGTACTGGGGACCTTCCAGTGTTACACTGCAGAATCAAGTTGAACTTAGACTTAGGAAGTCAGTGAGCACGTTACGGAGATCAATGCAGTCAAACGCTCCGGAAGACACCAGGAATAAACTGAAGATCCAGGCCCGCAGTATGCTGGTAAATAGAACCTGTCGAGGTTTTGGAGGCACGAAGATTGCGGCGAAGTACGATTTAAATCAAAGTGACAAATACTTCGGAACTTTCGATGTACGAGGACGCAAGGTCACTAAGGTGGGTGGCGGGGAGGATTCCTCCAGGAGGGTGGAGGGAACGTGCTTTTAGGGGACGACCAGGGGGGAGCAATAATGAGGAGGAGATAATTGAAGATCTTGGAGTCTGTTACTACTGGAAACAATTAATCTTGGTCTCCTGCTTCCCCACCCCCTCAACCTTATCTTTTTGAATGCAAATACTAATATTTCTTGTCACCTACTCTTCAGAGACGATTCCATTGAAAATAAAGCATTCGCGAAGAGAAAAGTATGGTTGAAGCTCTTCAGATGAGGGGAGGAAAACACATAGTTGCGTAGTACTTCACCTTGGGGAGCACCTCTCTCCCTTGCCATTAAGCTGTCTTGCTACTGGCTACCTGAACATAGAATTGTGCTCATCAAAACTCTCCATTTGTTCAGCAATAATACTAACTTCTATCATACTGACAGCATGGATACTTTCCCAGCCCTCGAGCACCTACGTGTGAAAGCTGGGAGGCTGTGTGTTCACGCGGAGTCAATGCAATGTCCAGCTTAAACGGCGATGTCGTTCTCCAAGTAATACCTTGAGTCACAGGCAATGAAATGTAAAGAGCGGAAAGGCGAGTGGTCAATTATAGCGAGATTTTGACTAGCAATTATGCATAAGTATCATCTGTATAATTGCGCTCAACCTTACGGTGGTCGTCGATGTATACTTCAGGTGTATGTGTAATGCCTGAGAACATTCGAAATTGGTTCATCCACAGACGCTGTTGTCAAGCAAATACCTTATGTATACACAGTAGTGAGGTACCGTTGGTATCCAAGTCTACCTGGTAGGTACCTATTTGAACCTTGGCAACTACCATCAATTCTTGGAAAGTTCGACTGGACAACTTCGTGGGCGGCATTCTTGGCTGTCGATCATCCACGGTTGTGTTCGATCTTTCAGTAACATGAGGCTCTTCGCGGAACGGGTACATTTCTCCAACCTTGGGTGACGTTGATGCCTAGCTGGCTTGCCATTCTCGTGGAAACATGAACGAATAGGCAGCAATAATGGCTCCATTCAATGAAACACACAAAGCTTTTGAGAATAAGAGGTTTTCCGACGTCTGAACGCAGAACTGGTTTGCACGTATCAGCCATCAACCACAGCGCACAACACTCAGCATACACTCTATCATTATGCCCTCCAGCAAACTCGACCTATCTCAGAGGATCCTCCGCATTTCCAGGAGTGATGATACCCAAGGTTACGTGCTCCTCCAGGTCTCCCCCACCAGTTCTGATGCCCTGGACCTGGACATTGCTGCGACGGAAGGGGAAAACCCCTATACTGGCACTGGTATGTTCTGCTTGAATCATTCGGCGTAATCAGTACTATGTCATATCATCGTTTTCTTTCCTGCTCTGAACCAACTTCTAAGGCAAGTGATACAGTGCGACAAACCAGCCTGAGAAGTCTCTGCGCAAAGAGCTACCGAGGTAGCGACGACGAATGGGTTCAAATTGTGTCATATGTTTTTGGTCAGCTCAAAGAGTCCATCCCAACGTCCGAAATGCTCTCTGGGATTGAATCTTCGGCGAGTATCATCGAATCGGGCGACGTTAGTAAGGAGCTAGTTATCACGATACGCAAACGAGTGCAATCCATCACAGTAGGCTCCCGTCATGAGCAAGCTTTTCCTGTATCAATCTAATTTCAGACAGCAAAGGCTGGGTTCTGTGACCCTGAGACAGGATGATGAACAGGCAATTCAACTATTCGATTGGTCGGGTGCGGCTGTTGCAAGGGCAGATGCTCTCGATGAACGTCTTTCTGCTTTAACAGATCGTTATCGCGCCGCTGAAGACGCAATCCAACGACTCAACAAGCAGTTGGAAGAATTCATGAGTGCCAAGACCCAGCACGACGAGTTACTGATGGCTAATTTTGTGCAATTGTTGAATGAGAAAAAGCTTAAGATTCGCAATCAACAACGCCTCTTAGCCTCTGCAAAGGTAGACTCTGAAAAAGGTATGATTTCGTCGAGGCAATTGCATTGAACACAAGGCATCGTTGACTCGTGGCATTCAATAAAGCATCAGAGATTCGGTCAGCAATCCCCGGCACACATCCCGTCTCTGGCCCGTCCAAGTGGAAAACAAAGCGATCCGCTCAAGATATGTTAGACGGTGAATCCGATAGTGAGGACGGATTTGAGAGGATGGAAGTCGATCACGCTGGACAAAACGATGGTCGCTCAGACGATCAGGAAACAGAAGATGAACAAACTTCTACGCCCCAGCCCCTTGAAGATGACGAAAACACCGACACAGGCGAAGCACTTGCATCTCCCCCAATAGAAAACGAGCGAGAAGGCTACAAGCAGCCATCAAGCAAAACGCCTCAAAATAGCACTATATTAACAAATTCAGCCGTCCCACCTCCCCGAAGAGAGCTTCCGTTTGTCAAGAAGTCGCAGGTGAATTATTTGACATCAAGATCAAATGAATCTGTCGCCACAGAGGAGGATGCTGAAGCAACGGCTGGGGAAACTGATGATGATGAGTTGTAATTTGCGGCAAGCGCTGCGGATCGGAATTTCTAGAACTCGAAGTCTCAATTACGGACGCATATAGCGTCTTTTGCCTTTTGGGGCATGTTCAACACTACGTATGACTACTATATCACTTCAATTACGGCGAATAAAGTGAGATGACACTCCAAAAGCTCGCTCAGAAGAGCTGCAACATCCCAACTTGACATCTTCCTTTGAGCCAGGAGAACGGACCATATCACTGATGGAAGGGTTCACATTGGTTCTTCTAACTCGAAAGCCGGTCATTTTCTCCATATCATATGTACATATTCACCTCCCCAGATCAGTTTTGAGGATGACCGACAACGATTCGGAGATACACTGCCCATGTAATGGAAAATAATCAATGAACTATGGGGAAACAGGAAAGGAGGTAAACAATATTTAGGTGGTACAATGAAAACGCCTGATCCAACAGACAAAGGAGAACAGACCGAAATGGCCGCAATACGAGCCTGCGCGTCCTAGCCGTACAAAGCCTGAGGAGACATTTCACCAGCAGCCATAAAGTTCGTCTCTGGATTTCCAGTGGCCTTGGCTGCTGAACAGCGGGCCATGGTCGGGGAACTAGATTCACGATTAGCGGTGGACATGGCCCAGATCTGAGAAATAAACTGACCTCCGAGCAATGGAATTAGTAAAATAGAAGTCCTCGATGACCTTCCTGAAAGGTGTACCAGTTGGCTGAACGCCCTTGTTCTGGTCAACCAGTTGTACTTTGCTCAGTGAGCTCAGGGAAGTCGGCTCAACGACATCGTACCGGCGCATGACAGGACTGATCTCCTCCATGCGATCGCGGAGCGCCTCAATGTCGTCGTAGGGAAGCGGTATGTTGAGGAATTCACTGGCAGCACGGATAATCTTCCAGTCGTCACGTGCGGCACCAGGCAAGGAGGTGGCCGCTCGAGTGACTTGGACACGTCCTTCAGTGTTGATATATGTGCCCGACTTCTCGGTATATGCTGCACCGGGGAGAACGACGTCGGCCAATTGAGCACCACGATCACCGTGGTGGCCCTGATAAATGACAAACGCATCGCTCGGTATTTCGCTTTGACTAACTTCATCTGCGCCTAAGAGCCAGATCATTTTCGGCTTGGTCTGCGCTACTTCTGAAGATGGAGTAGTGAAACCGACTTCATAGGCAGCGGCACGGGATGCAGCACGTTGAAGGACGTTGTAGCCTTGCCATTCAGAGGTGTTGAAGTTGTTTCGATGTTTTTCAACGAAGCTGCCAACGGTTTCGAAGACTGCTTTCGCATCCGGATGTTCGGCTGCGGCGCTTCCGACAATAATCATCGGCCGCTTAGCAGAAGCAAGTTTCTCACCGAATTTTCCAGACAAAGCGGCCTTCAACGAAGAGGTGTCTGAGCCAAGGTGTTCGTAGTCAAAAGTGCTTTCAAATTGCTCTCCGACTAACCCAATGTGGAGGTCTGAGCGAAGATACTGCTTGCGTATGCGTGCATTGAGAACTGCTGCTTCATGGCGAGGATTCGTAGCAACCAGAAGGATGACGTCGGCTTCCTCAATTCCGTAGATTTTGGAATTGAAGAGGTAATTTGAGCGTATATCAATTCCATGGGCAATGGGAGAGTCGCCTCTCGGCTGATCCAGAGCTAGGTTATCGGATCCAAGCTTGTTAGCTAAGTCTTTCATCGCCACAAGGGACTCGGCATCGACTAGATGCCCTGCGACAGCCTTGAATTCATTCTCCTTCAGCTGCAGTTTCTGCTGAGCGCTAGATATCTCAGTCAAGGCTTGCTCCCAGGTTGCAGGAACGAATTTTCCGTCCCTCCGAATCAATGGCGTTGTCAGTCTCTGGGTCTTCAAACCGTCACATGCAAACCGAGATTTATCATCGATCCATTCTTCATTGATGTCGTCATTCAGTCTCGGAAGCACCCGCATGACTTCCATGCCTCTAGTATCTATTCGGACATTGGAGCCCATAGCATCGTGGACATCAATAGACTC